TTGCCCATTAACAGTGAGTACTTCCACCTGGCTGGCATGGCTCCATGGTTGAGTGTTAACCTATGAACCAGGAGGTTACAGTTCCATTCCTGATCAGGGCATATCTCCCGGTTGTAGACTCATCCCCAGGAGGGGGTGTGCAGGAGGCAGCAGATCAATGATTCTCGCTCATCATTAATGCTTCTATCTCTCTATCCCTCTCCCTTCTTCTCTAAAATAAACTATATATATATATATTTATTTTTTTTTTTTAAAGAGTGAGTACTTCCTTACAAACTAGCCCTCTATGTATCTATTCCTGAGGTAGAAGGTGTTCTGTTGTTTCAGATATTTAGACAATCCAAAGGAGCAACTTTAATTAGAATGAGCACTGATAAGTGCTTTCATCTTATTTTTCCAAGTTTGACCCCTTGTTTTTTAAAAAGAGATTGTTTATGAAACATACAACCCATATCAAGTAATAATCAATTCGTTATCTGCCTTAATAAAAGTCATATAATTTATCCTATCTAATAAAGAGGGAATATGCTAATTGACCATCACTCCATCACAAAGATGGCTGAACCCACAGCTGAGGCCAAGTTACCATAAGGAGCCTTAACAAGCAATCAGCAAGGACCTGAGGCTATGCCTCCCTCACCCCCATGGGGCTTGACAGGGGACCTCAGGCTGCGCACCCCACCCGGCAGGGCTTGACAGGGGATATCAGGTCACACTCACTGCCCTGACATCAGGCTGGGGGACCTCAGGCCACATCCCTTGCCCCAGTGCCAGGCCAGGGGCCCTGAGGTGATGCCCCCCCCCCCCAACCTGGTGGGGCTTGACAGGGGACCTCAGCCCGTGCCCCCCACCCAACAGGGCTTGATGGAGGACCTCAAGGTACAACCCCAGTGCTGAGTTGGGGGAACTCAGGCCATGTCCCCCATCTGGTGGGGCTTGATGGAGGACCTCAAGGCATGTCCCCCATCCTGATCTGGGCTGGGGGGACCTCAGGCCACGCCCCCCACCCTGGCACCAAGCCAGGGGACCTGAGGCTATGCCCCTGCCAGCACGGCTTGACCAATGTAGGACTGGCCAGGTCTGGATATAGCCCCATTGCGGGGGGGGGGGGGGGGGGGCGCGCGTGGGGTTGGGGGGGGGGGGGGAAAGCAGCCGAGTCTGGGTCTCATACAATTTTGAGGTGCATGTGAGTGGGTGGGGACTTGACTCTGGGTCCTGTGATGTGCCCCAGACTCTGACAGGAGGAAGGTTTTCATATACATTTTACTAATTTTCTTTCATCTCTAACAATTCTATTGTAGAGAAAGGGCAAATAGCAATATTAAATAATTTCCTCTAATTAATCCCCTTTTAATGGGCATGAATTTCTTGTTCCAGGTCACTAGTATAATATACTAGAGGCCTGGTACATGGAATTCATGCATGGGAGGGGGGTGTCCCTCAGCCCACCCTACACCCTCTCCAATCTGGGACATCCCTCTCACAATCCAGGACTGCTGGCTCCTAACCACTCGCCTGCCTGCCTGCCTGATTGTCCCTAACCGATTCTGCCTGCCAGCCTGATTGCCCCTAACTGCTCCCCTGCCAGCCTGGTTGCCCCCAACTGTCCTCCCCATAGGACCGGTTGCACCCAACTGCCCTCCCCTGCTGGCCTGTTCACCCCCAACTGCCTTCCACTGCAGCCTTATCACCCACTACTGACCTCCTCTGCTGGCCTGTTTGCCCCCAACTGCCCTCTCAACAGCCATCTTGTGGTGGCCGTCTTGTGATAATGTCGCACATGACGCCACCAAGGCTTTTATTATATAGGATATATCATCCAATCAACATAAAATCAACATGAAAAGCATAGAAATCTGACATGATTTGCCTTATGTGAAATACATATATAATTTTCTAGGCTTCTTCAAAATTCAAATTTGTACCTGCCTCTCCAGTAACAACTCTAGAGAGGATCAATACTATAATCTTAATCCAGCCACAAATACTTACAAAATATACTTTACAAACTATTATGCTTTCCATTCTGCTACAGATAATCTTATATAATCAGATAATGAAGCATAGTAACAATACAGCTAAACAAAAATCACCTTCCTCTGATCTTAGGAAGTTGAGGAATTTTTAAATCCATCCTATTACTACTTCCTCTCCACTTTTAAATCAGTCCTTCTCACTAAACCCATCTTTTCACTAAGCACTTCAGCGCATACATTTAAGTCATTCTGTAAAGGCTCAGATTACTATTTTGTAGTTATTTATTACAAATCATCACTATTGCAGATCTTCCCCCACTCATTTAGAAAAACCAGGGCTAGGATAAGAATGTTTTTTTATGAGAAAGAGTATTCAGCTAACCACTTTTCTGTGCCTCAGTTTCCTTGCAGTAAAGTAAGAAGGTGGTATATGAGAAGGTGACATTATTATTTCTATAATAATTTCTGTCTAGCATTCCCTTAAAAATCCCTTAAAAGACACCTTTTTCTTTTTATTACAGACACTGTCAGCCAAATTTGACTGGAGTCCATTTGTTATTATTAAATAGGACTCAGTTCAGTAAATTAACCAGAGTGAAGATCATTTGTCCCAGAATAGGAACAAATTAAAAAAAAAAAAAAAAAAAAAAAAAAAAAAAAAAAAAAAGCAGAGGAAGTACTTAGATTTTTTTTTTTTATTTATAGGAAACCTACCTACAAGTCTGAAAAGGGGTTCCTAGTTGCCTTGCTATGTTTTAGGAATAATTTAACATGAATGATGTGCTCCTTCTAATTTAGTCACAAAGACAGACAAATATAGAACCTAAAAAAATAATAAATACCTGTGAGCAATCATGCTATCTAAATATATACATTTCTCATTTTACAACTTTTTGATTTTGTCTGCAATGATCAGAATATATTCAGAGAGTGATTTTGATAAAGTAGACTCTGTCAAGTATTGATTATGGTATCAACAGTCAGTTTAAGATATCAATACACTTAATTGAAGACACGTGGTCAGTTTTGTGAACGTGTCCCTAATTCCTTCTTGTGCATATGCCAGCCAACCCGAGGCTAGCTGTGCACACCATGCAGGATGACGCTTCTTGGAAGATACCAACTCTTCCTTATTGTTTCTCTAGTGCACACTGTCCATTTTGAACAGAAAGTAACAAACGAAGAGACATTATTAGTACTCCTCACGGACACTGCACTGACTATCGGAAGTATATCTGATCTCTGAGCTGGTTTCTGATTAAGCAACCACAAGCCCCAGCTAGATCTCTTTGCAAAGATGGATCAGCTGGGCCGCGGGAGCCAGCACCATTTCACCTGCTGATCCCGGGCACTCAAGACAACACCCAGCTGCAGGGCACACTGCCCGCGGCGAGAAGCTCTGGGAGTTTCTCATAAAATGAATCCACTTCTTGCAAGAACAGGCTTGGCTTCACCACCAAAGATCGAATCCCATATTAATTAGCAAAACATGATTCAATTCGATGCTATTTTTCTTGGTACTTAATCGTACCTTCACTCATTTCTAAAACCCTTAAATACCTCCTATCTTAGCACCACCAGAGAGTCTGAGGAAACCTCCAGTCCTGTCTATAAAATGTAACGAGCTGACGGACAGAGAAACCCCTTATATCTCTGAGATGAAACATTTACGTTAACCACATGCTAAAAATGGAAGCTAATGTAAATGAATATATTATCAAACTCTTTTGTGCTGGATCATAATAAATACCACACATTTAGAATGAGCATGTTAAAGATCACCAAGGGGTAAGGTTTCTATGTGCCAAGTAAAATGATGCCTGTGTGAGAGCTTAAATTTTCTTTGAATCCATCCATCCCGGAACTTTTCTCTGTAAGCTAGATGCTTCAGGGTCCTAACTACGCTTCCTGCTGGGTCGGATGTATTATAAACCCGTAACTCTTGAAGGCTTTACTATTTTTAATCCCAGGAATGTCAGTTTTAGATGAAAACAGGCTGCTTTAAGTCATCTTTGGGTCAAGCGACCCAATCACACCGCTGCATCTCTGAGAAATCGATACATCAGAGTATAATTCTAGCACATGACACTCTTACTTAGAAACTGGAACAAAATCGTACTCACTGTTCACTCACCGGCACACCTAAAGACCAGTCTGAGAAGGGGACACTGGGTTCATGTCCCCCCCGTGTGACGGTTCAGGCCAGTGTTTCAGGCACTAATATACTACTGGGTCCTTTCGGAAGTTTATTAAGAAGCTAGAATGCCCACCAGTCGGTTGAAATCATTATCTAGCTTCCCACTACGCAGCAAGCACCTAGCACCTTAGTGGTTGAAGGAATATCATTTACAACACGACCGTCTAAGCTAGGGGTGTCGAACTCAATCAGAGAAGGGGCCAAAATCTAAAATCCAGCCTAAATCTCGGGCCGAATGGTTTACTGAACAGTCATAAACTGTCATTGTGATGGAAACGCAGCGGAGTGCAGTGATGACAGCGCGGTGCGGGCCACATTGCAAGGCCTGGCGGGACGGATTTGGCCCGCGGGCCTTGTGTTTGACACATGTGGTCTAAGCCATCACAGAACTTTCAAGACAGTTCATCAGCAAGGACAGGCAGAACAACATGTTCTGTGCACTTGGCTACGTCTTACATCACTTGGCTTTATAATAACAGGGAAGGTTCTTTTTCCATCAGGATTGGCTGTGGTACCCGGATGTTTAAAAGTGTTTCAGGTAAGTAGCTGAATGTGGGGCTGTGACCCCTCTGATGTCCATGGGGCTTTAAGGAAAAGAACCCTACATCTCCAACCCTGAATGCCTACAATGGCATCCTTGAGTTTATATTTCACCTTTCACTGAAGAAAGCTTGAGTGTCTGTATTTTTTAAAAAATAAATAGGTGCCTGTAGAATACTTTTGTGATGGCATATCCCTTCCTCCTTAAGGAGTGAGGATTTTAAGAAGTAGATGCTCCATATAATAAACAAAACCAGCAGAGGGCAGAATGGCGAATCCAGCTGGGGACTAGGTACCCAAGGCAGAATGCAAACTTGGGGTGGATTCCATTTCCAAAGACTCTGCTCTGTATCCTTGGAAAGGGAGGAGGGGAAGAATAGACATCCTTGGCATCACTTCTTTAAAGCGCAACTAGGGTCCTCCGAGGCGCGGACTGTCTGCCTTGGGACAAGTCCCCGCGTGGAGGAGGCATCCACGCCACGCGGCCCGCTCGCTGCCGGGGAAGGTGGAGGCCAGCGCGTGGGGAGGGAACACAGACCTGGTGTCCAGGAGTGCGGCCCTCCGGGAGCCCCACCGCCCATCAGGCAGAACTCAGATCTTGGCACCCTCTGGCCAGACTCAGGTTTCTGCTAAAGCTTGCGCATTGGGGGCTGACAATTCCTTCCTCCCTCCGCCAAGCCTCGCCACCCTCCTCCTCACCCCGCTGCCCCTGCGCTTTGAACAAAGCTGGCTTTTCTACTCGCAGCACTCCGGCGGGCTCCCGCCAGCCAGCCAGCCAGCCAGCCGAGTCCATGGCACCTAACGGACCAAGCGCTCCGCGGGGAGGGCGGGGGCAGGGGCGGGGGGGGGGGGGGGGGGGGAGGAGGGAAGTCGCTCTCCCTCCCCGGGTTCTGACAGGGCTGCGGTCTTCCCGACAGGTCAGCTCATGGAACAGCGGCGGCTGGTGCCACGTAGGAACTTTTCCTTACCTCTCTCCTCCCGCCCCACCCGCGCCCCCTCCCCGCCCTTCCCAAGCCTAGGCCTCCGCCCCCAGCCCGTTCGCCGGGCCAGTTTCATCATTCTCCGTGAGAACTGCACGTCCGACCTGCAAGAAGTGGGGAGTGGGAGTCCTGGTGGAGAGCCTTCTCCCGAGTTGCCACCCCGTCCCTAAGAACCTGCCACTTCCCCACTGAAAATCTCCCCCAAATGCCCCCCCCACACACACACACGTGTTCTGTCTTCTCGATTCACCAGCATCCCCCCTGCCTCCCGCCCCTGTCTCTCATAGCCCCGAAAGGAGGAAAACAGCCCGTTTCTCACTTTATTCCAGACAAAGAACTTCACCAGGCTCCCTTGAGCCTCTTTCTCTGTATTTTCGGCTCAGCTCGGCCCTAAATAAAGATCCTTCCACTCACTGGGATCTGGAAGAGCCAGAAGACGTGCGGGCTGGGGGCCGGGCTGGAACAAAAGCCTGCACAAGTGCCCTTGTGTGCAGGTAACATGTCCCCTCTCCTCCAAGGCTCTGGCCGCGGCCGGGCACCTCCGCGGGCTCCGCGCTGACAGATCTGTGTCCCCGCTACCGCTTCTCCCCTTACCGGCCCGCCTACACCCGCCTCGCCCTCCGGCCCGAGCTTCCAACCTGGCGGTGGCAGCCGCAATCTGGATCTTATTTGGGAGGATGGTTTCTTGGGGGGCCTGGGGGGCGCCTGGGCAGGGGGAGGGGGAGGGGCGCAGAATGAGATCGCCGGACGGACGGATGGCGATCGCCCTCCTCCCCCAGTCCCAGCCCCCGCGGTCTTACCTCCTCTGACCTCCCGGGGCTGGGCGAGGAAGGTCAGCGCCAGGGTGGTGACGGCCAGGTCCCAGGGCCACCGTCTCGTCTTCCAGCGGGAGGGCCACCGCTCCATCTCCGCGCCCCGCACTCGCCGCCGCTGGGAGCTCGCCCCGCCGCCCACCAGCCCGCGACCCGCACCCGCTCCGCGTCCCTTCCAGGTGGCGCAGGCTGTTCGCTACACAGCCATCGGGAAGGAGCAGGCAGCAAAAAAATTTAAAAAAAAATTAAATTTAAAAAAATCAAAGGGCTTTTTCTTTTCGAATTGGATGGCGTTCTTGCTTCCTTCCTGTCCCCCGGCCCCCCTCTTCTCCCTCTCGCTCGGCCCCCGCCGGCCGGGACCCTCCGATCCGTCCTCCGCGGGGCCCTGCCTTCACTCTGGAGGCGGGCGAGGGGCTTCCTCCAAAAGCCCGAGACGACTGCGGGCCCCTAAAGGCTGCATGCCGTCAGGGGGCCGGGCGAGGGCTCCGGGCAGCCCCCTCCCCCGCCCACTCCCCGGCGCCCCCCGCCCCGGCCCGGCCCCGCGCGAAACTGACAAGCCGGCCGCGCGCGGCGCCCAATCACACGCCGCGCGCGCGGCCCGAGCCCGCCCCCTCGGCCCGGCCCCGCGACCGCGGCTGGAGCAAGCCCGGCCCCCGGCCCCCGGCCCCCTCCCTCCGCCGGCCCCGGAGCGGCGGGGGGCGCGCTGGGCTCCCGCGCCCCGGGAATGAAAGGAATGGCCGGGGAGCCCGGAGCGCGCGGAGTGTTCAAGGAGCTTCTGTGTTCCACAAAATCAGCCACTTGTCTCCCCGGCCCGTCCGCTCGCCCCGGGTCGGCGGCGGGGGAGGGGAGGAGCCCGCGGCGGGTCCCCACCCCGCTGGAGTGCGGGCTGGCTGCAGGCGTAACCTTATCCCCGGGCACAGATCTGCAGCTTCCAGCAGACCCGGGACCTGGGACCTGGGACCGGCGGGCTCAGGCTCCGCGGACTCCCCGACGTGTGTTGTTGGGCTGTTTTTACACCGAGATTTAGAAGGAGGGGCTCAAAGTGAGATGGAGGCACCCACACAGGTCAAGGCATCCATGGTTTTCAAGGCAAGCTGTCCGCTGGGACCTGAAGTGGACAGGTGTCTCTCTGAACTGCCTCAGTTCGGCAGGGGCTCCACTGAGAGGCTGGGGACTCTGATCGGAGGCAGGGCGAGGAAGAGCCGCGAGATGCAGGGGCGCTGACAGTGAGCGCCTGGGCAATCCAGCCCACTCTGTCCTCGTCCCCGTGAGAGGGTAGAATGGGAGGAGAAAACACCTGGAGAGCAACCAGCAAAAGGCCTCCGGAGCTGGAACCATGGCCCTGCACAGTGAACCATGGGGGGTAGGGGTTGGGGGATGGAAGGGTGTCTCAGGTCCTTCTACACCCTTGCACAGAGGAACCCGCTTACACCTTGGATACAGATTCCCTGACTCGCCTCCTCCCCCCCCCCCCCACCCCTTCCCAAGTCTAAAATATGGCTTCCTGTTGGCTCCTCCTGTTCCTTATTTCCTAAGGTGTCTCTCTCCAGTTTGCTGGACCAGAGCCCAGCAAGGTGCCAGCATACAATTAGGCACTCAACAGAGGCCTGTTGAATGGATGAATGGCTGTCCCCGCGGACAGAGGCTGGCAGCTTTGGCCAGGACCTGGGCTGAGTAGTTAAGATACCTCAGTGTAAGAATCCCCAACTCCGTTTACGAGGCCCACTTGTCCACTCATCTTTCGGAAACAAATCTCTGTTCGTTTTGGAACTAGACCTCGTGACCCATCAGATGAAGCAGGTGCTCTAGTTATGTGGTGTAAGAGTTGGAAGGTGCGCAGAGAAGAGAGTGAGGCCCAAGATGGGATTCACAACATGCACAGGAGGCCATACATGTGAAATGAGGAGAGTCACTAACAACGCCTTCGATGGGGCAGTCACTCTCAGTGGCAAAGAACCATTCCCATATCGAGAAGGTGACTTCTTACTTTATATTAGGGGTGCTGCCGGAAGCATGTGTGGGATGCTTATGTCAGCTACAGAGACGTATCAGCAACCAGCTTCTTGGATGATGACCTCAAGTCGCTAATTGAATAAAATGATTCAAAATCAGAGTGTGTTTGAAATTGGAATGCATGGTTAACAAATGAAAAGTTTATGGTGGGAACTTAGGTCAATTTAATACAACCTTCATTATCCTTCATCTCTTCAAAATGAAAAAAAAAAAATGCGTGTGTTTTTGCCGTGTCCACACTTTTTTGAGACCCTATTTTCCTATCCAATACTTTGTCCATTTGTAAACTTATTCTAAAAGTCATCCCTTACATGCAAACTGGTGAAATTGCAATGTTTGGATAGACATATCTGTGAGATTGCCAAAATGGGAGACCCACTCAATGGCTAGAGAGAGTCACTTGGTTTGTAGGAACGTGCCAACTGGTGTTTCGAATTGTTTCTCCGTCCCTGTCCTGATGGATGGAGCATTTTGAGGCCTGACACTGTCCCAGAAGGTGAGAAATGAGGCAGTCAGCCTAGCAAGCCCCGCCTTCTAGTCACATCTCAGGCCTTCTCGCCACTGAAAGGGTCCTTTCGGCAAAGGGACGTGGGTGAAATGAGCCATTACTACCTTCAGCTCGCTGTACTCTGTGGTCTAAATTCCTCTGGCCCCAGCCCAGCGACGCATAACCTGGGTCTGAATTGACGCCTCTGGGAGGAAATATAGTAGATTCATAGGAAGGAATATTAATGGTGCCCAATCCCGCTAGCCTGTAGCTAGCAGCCAGATCTAGAGCCCAGGAACCTACCTGCCCATGGGTGTCCAGGAGATGAACTCATGGAGAGGGAAGTTATTGCCAAACAAGAGATGGAGGACAGGGCCCGGCCACTGTGACTCAATGGTGGAGCGTCTATCTATGAACCAGAAGGTCAAGGTTCAACTCCCTGTCAGGACACATTGCTGGGTTGCAGGCTCCATCCCCAGTGCGGGGCGTGCAGGAGCAGCCGATCAATGATTCTCTCTCATCATTGGTGTTTCTCTATCCCTTTCTCTCTGAAATCAATAAAAGATATGTTTTTGTTTTTGTTTTTTAAGAGAGAAATGGAGGATGGGGAAGCGGAAGAGACCTCACCACCTTCGACTTGGCATGGCTTACTTTCCAGGGGCAGTTTCCCAGCCACCTTTCAGCCTGTCCTTGTTCATTGTTTACCCATAAATTCAAAGGTAATAAAATGTGATGGTTTCCTGACAGTCTTTAATCCACAACACAATTAGCTCTATGACACTTCCTACTTGGGCCTGTTATAAACAGTGTCTGAAGGACTTGCACGGCTTTCTTTGCAGAATTCATTCTGGCTGCAAGCCGTGCAGAAAACAAGATGGAAAGAGTTTAAAGAAAAAACAGTGGCTTCCGTGGGAGCAGTGCTCTATGTTGGCTTCTCTGCACTGGCTTGTCAGGGATGCTGAGAGTCAGCTGATGACTGATTGGGAGGTCCCGTTAGGGAAGTTGAATGTTCTGGACAATTTTCTGAGCTCACGGAGTTTTACATGGGGAAGAGCCACCAGATGCCCCTCCAGGTCTTCAATATCTAGGCATGGGGGGGACACAGAGTCAGAACCAACGTTTAAACATGGAGACCTTAATGACCAAGCTGGGGCTGGAGAGAGCTTGCGCGTGGGTGGATGCTCCCATACAGAGTGATGAAATAGGGGAGGTGGAGAGGACTCCCTAAGGAAACATGGAGCTGGGCCCTCCTGCCTCACAGAGGGACCACTGTTTATGGTAGAAAGTGGGGGTGCGGAGGGGACTGGGGAGTTTATTTCCAGAGTCTAAACCAGCTCCCAAGTTACTCTATAGTATGAAGCATTTTGGGTAAGTATTTTCCGGCACTTTTACTGTGAAATAACACACAGAATGTAGGGATACAAACTAAGCCCACTATCGATGATAACAAAACTTTGGGTGGAAAGTTTGGTCTGTTGAAGTTTTGAGAGTCTACTGACCCATCCTATTTAAAAGAACCTATAAAAAATGTTTCAAGGGGGGAAAACGGAGACATATGTACTACTATTTGTAATCCTTCAAACAATAAAAATGAACAAAAACAAAACAAAATAATAAGAGAACCTACAATAAGTTCCATTCTAAATGCCCCTAACAGGCAAGAAATATATGGCCCTTGTACACTTGGGTGCATCTCACTTTAAAATATCCTTTGTGCCCTAGCTGGCACTGCTAAGTGGTTAGGGGTGTCGAACTCAATCAGAGAAGGGGCCAAAATCTAAAATCCAGCCTAAATCGTGGGCCGAATGGTTTACTGAACAGTCATAAACTGTCATTGTGATGGAAACGCAGCGGAGTGCAGTGATGACAGCGCGGTGCGGGCCACATTTCAAGGCCTGGTGGGACGGATTTGGCCCGCGGGCCTTGTGTTTGACACATGTGGTTAGAGCATCAGCCCACACACAGAAGGATTAAAGGTTCAATTCCTGGTCCTGGGTAGGTACTTGGGCTATAGATTCTATCCCTAGCCCTGGTCCAGGCAGGTATGGGAGGCAACCAACTGAAGTCTCTCACAGGATCTCTCTCTCTCTCCCTCCCACCCCCCTCCTCCCATCCTAATCCCTCCCTCTCTTCCAGTCTCTTTAAATATCAATGGGGAAAATATCCTCAGGTGAGGATTAACAACAAGAAAATAACTGTAAACTTCCCCTTGTTATTTACACTTATAAGAACTATCACAGTGCTTGTTTGTAATTGTCTGGAGGCGGAAGGGAGGAACCCAGAACAGAATGGCTCAGGGTTAAACACTTAAATATTTGGGCCCTTAGTCAAGACAGTTTTACTCTCTGTATCCTTT